CACACAGACTCTCTATCTATCTGTCTCTTTCTCTATATCTTGCTAGATGAACTACGGTCCTATTTATAGGACCTAGTGACAACCACTAGATCATGATAACAATCTAGATAGATAACTATGAATCAGATCTCAACACTCCCCCTTGATTCATAGTTGCATACACCAATTTGCGACATAAGATAAACATTCTTTCAAACTGGAAGTGATTTGGTGAGGATATCCGCAACTTGCTCATCCGTTTCATAATACTTCATTGTGATGGCTCCACTTGCCTGAAGTACTCTTTCGATCATCTAAAGCTCCTGCACAATCAGTATCAGTAAAACCAAATAATTTGCATTTAAATTTTGTTTTGAACACCCATTTTAATCCAATCGCTTTCTTTTCTTTCGGTAGATCCATTAGCTCCCAAGTTTCATTCTTTTCAATTGACTTGATTTCCTCCTTCATTGCTTTTCTCCATTCCTCTTTTTTAACTACTTCATCAAAAGTTGTCGGATCTGAAATAAACAAAGCAAATGTTGAGTTATAAATTTCTGTCAATGATATGAAATTTCTTGGAGGGGTTTCATCTGAGGAATCCGAATTTGAACTGCTATTGGGTGAGGTTGACGATAAATTTGTTGGAGCAGGATCTGTCACTTGATTCTGCGGAGTGTCTAGTTCTGCTAGAATCTGCATTTGTGTTTCACCTTTATTGGTCTCCCAATTCCAACTTGCCCTTTCATCAAACATAACATTTCTGTTAATAATAACTTTGCCACTAACAGGGTTATATAATCGATATGCTTTAGATTGTAAAAAATAACCAATTAAAATGCATTTCTCTGATTTTTCATCAAGCTTGTGATGATTTTGTGAATTCACCAAAGCATAAGCAATACAACCAAAAATTCTTAGATGTCTAACACTTAGTTTCATACCATACTAAGCCTCAAAAGGAGTTCGATTTATAACAGCCTTTGTTGGTGAAATATTCAACAAATAAACTGCTGTTGCAACTGCTTCTGCCCAAAACTGATTTGGAAGATGTTTTCCTTTAAGCAAACTTCTTGTCATTTCAACGACAGTCCGATTCTTACGCTCAACTACACCATTTTGCTCCGGTGTATATGGTGCTGTCAATTCTCTGTGAATACCATTTTCTTCACAAAAAGAACTAAACTCATTAGATAAAAATTCACCACCTCTATCTGTCCGAAGTGTCTTTATATATCTACCACTTTGTCTTTCTACAAGTGCCTTAAACTTTCAAAAATTATCAAATGTTTTAGATTTCAATTTCAAAAAATATACCCAACTCATGCGACTATAATCATCCGTAAACAATAAAAAATATTGACTTCCACCAAATGATTTTGTATTCATAGGTCCACATAAGTCAGCATGAATTAATTCAAGACAATTAGATGCTCTCCATGCTTTTCCAATAGGAAATGATTTTCTACTTTGTTTGCCATAAATACATCCTTCACATACATCAAGTGTATTAATCTTAGGCAATCCAAAAATCATTCCTTTTTGACTTAACAACCTTAAACCTTTAATGTTAAGGTGTCCATATCTTAAATGTCATAAACCAGACTCATTCTTTTGAGTTGTGATAAGTGCATATCTTTCAATATTTGACACATCAAGTGGAAACATCTTGTTTGTGTCATGCAAACATTTACTATAATCAAACCAGATTTCTTATCTCTAATAGTGCATGAACCATCATCAAATATTACTGAATATCCATCATTTACTAATTGTCCAACACTCAACAAGTTATGTGATAAAGTAGGAACAAAGAAAACATTATCAAGGTATTTTACCTTCCCTTGATTTGTCTTCACCTCAATTGTTCCTTTCCCTTCCACTTGGATTTGCTTGTTATCTCCAAGTCTAACATTCAACTTGTGAGTCTCATCAATATCTCTAAATATTGATTTTATGCCTGACATATGATTAGAACATCCACTATCCAGAAACCAAATATCATTTGAGATATTATGAACATGTGAATGAGTCATAAACAACTTACTATTTTCTTCATTTTTCTCCACATAGCTTGCTTGCTTTTCTCTTTTCCAGCAATCTGCCTTCATGTGACCAAACTTTTTACAATAGTGACATTGAATTCCACTTTTGTAATTTTTTTGATTATAATTTGATTGCCCTTGTTCATCAAAGTGTCCTCTTCCTCGTCCATTTCCTCTACCACGAAATCCTCCTCTGCCACGTCCTCTTCCTGTTGATTTTTTGTCTTCTTTTGAAGTAGAAGACTCTCCCTTAACCTGAAATGCTTTTTCTTCACTTTTTTCAAGTGACCTGTTCAACCTTACTTCATGTGCTTGCAAGGAACCCATTAGTTCATCAAATGAATAAGTAGATAAATCTTTTGATTCCTCAATTGCGGCAACAACATGATCAAATTTCGGAGTTAAACTTCTCAAAACTTTTGCAACAATTATATGATTAGGAAGATGTTCACCATAATATTTCATTTGACTAACAATTTCAGTCACTCGAGAAAGAAAATCTTGCACCGATTCATTGCCTTTCATGAACAAAATTTCAAACTCACGACGGAGGGTTTGAAATTTTACCGTAATCACCCGTGATGAGCCTTGAAATTCATTTTGAAGTATCAACCAAGCTTGCTTTGAGGTTGTCACTGCTGCAATTCTTGAGAAGATCGTCTCATGTACAGCTTGTTGAATGAAGAACAATGTCTTTGAGTCCTTCTTTCTATTCTCCCTCAGCCTGATTTCGTCATCTGGATCTGCATATCCATTCTCTATTAAGTCCCAAAGATCTTGAGACTTGAATAGAGTCTTCATCTTGATACTCTAAAATTCATAACTTTTGCCCGAGAAGATGGGGATAAGGGGCTAAGACATGGAATTGTCATTGAAAGCCATAATGCCCAGTTCATATTGAAACTAGACTCTGATACCACAAATGTTGGGGATGGAGGAGGAAGGAAAAATAGAATACTACAATACGAGTAAAAAAAATCCTTTCGACTCAAGAAAACTGATGTAGTATTAAAAACAGGAGGACTGATAAGAACACTTACAAGATACCAAGTGTACACAGACTCTCTATATATCTGTCTCTTTCTCTATATCTTGCTAAATGAACTACGGTCCTATTTATAGGACCTAGTGACGACCACCCTATAACTACTAGATCATAAAGTAGTTATTGAAACCACCTTATAACTACTAGATCATGATTGAAGTGGTTATTGAAATCATCATGTAACCACTAGATCATGATAACAATCTAGATAGATAACTATGAATCAGATCTCAACACGACCACCGTCTTAACGGTTGAATCTTCAGAGAGCTTTTGGCAAAGAGGCCAAAAAAGCGGCTTCTCGAGTAGGTAGGGAAGCTGGAATTGTATGGCGATAATAAGAAGGCCATGCCATCGCCGGACGAAGGTTTATCCAGAACGTCGATGACGAAGGTGAAATGAGAGGCGAAATCAGGCAACTCTCAGGTTTCTGCATCACACTGCTCTGCCCACGCTATACTTGATGCTACCAGTGAGCTGATTCCTTGTGAGTTGTACGCCGTCGTTCAAATATGCATGATCCTGGATTGATCAAAGGCAGAGAAGTCGAAGGAGAGAGCAGTGGCCAAGGAGACAAGAATCGACAAGAACAAGAGACAAAGCAGGATCCTTGACTTGACCATGATCATGGCTGAGAGGTCAAT